GGAAAGGGAAGGGGGAGCATTTTATGTGTGCACGCAACACAAATGGGGCGGCACTAGTGCCCACGTGACATTCACTAGCCCCACCCCGTTTTCGCTGTGTGGTGCCGTGTTTTCACCGCAACTACAGCGCTAGCGCAAGTGGGGGTGAGTACATGCACACACATGCATGCACTGGCCAGCCTGTCGGACACTGCCTCCTCCTCCTCCTCCTCCTCCTCCTCCTCCTCCTCACATGCTCAGAGTTAACCTGGGCTTGATATGCTGGGACAGAACACCACTGTTCTGTTCAACAGAACGCTCTGTTGTTGGGAGAGCGAGGAGAGGGGGGGTCACATTGTTCCCCTCCAAACCCACCCAGGGCAGGGGTGCCCAGCCTGTGGACGTCAAGTTGAAGTCCAAGTTGCCAAGTTGGGCTCCCCTGGTCTAGGACACAGGAGTGGGGTGAGCTAATGGGGGCACTGCGGATCCAAATGGAAAGGCCGAGTGCTGCACGCAGCATGGCAGAGCTGGGACCATGCCCAGATGGTAGGCAAGAAACTGGCGCCTCCCCTCCCCTGCTCAACACCAGCTGCATTTTGCTCCCTGCTAGTCCTGGCAGAGCCGTCCAGCAGGGAGAGGGCCTCATTTGGGGGAAAAACCGGGCCGGTTGCCTAAGCCAGGACGAAGAGCAGGAAGGGGCCCTGGCCCTGCCCGGTTGGCACCCAAGGAAAGAGCCTGGAAGAGCCACTCCCAGCCCCCCAGTGTGGATTCCAGCCCTTCCCCACTTCCTCTGCCAGGGATCCTCACCTCTGTCTGCCAACCCCAATTGGCACGGCATGCGCCCTGCTCTTACCTTTGGTTTTGCAGATCCTGGAGTAGTCGCTGCAGCAGCTCTGATAGTAGACACACAGGTCATCACACTGGCACTTTTTCTGGCGGTCAAAGCCCTTGTCACAGCGGCCCTCGCAGGACTCTGGAGGTTAAAGGGGACAGGCAGCCAGGGGAGCTGGTCAGTCTGGCCTTTGGAAAGCTCGGGCCTTTTGGGGGAAAAGGGGAAGGGAAAGGAGTCCCTGCGGATTTTACTCCACTCGTCGTTGCCGATTCCAGGGCTGGTGCTCATCTCCGCTTCAAGGCCATCGCACCAGCGCCGTCCGGAGAAATGTCTGTGGTCACGTGACCCGCATGATGTCATGGAGCGCTCTTACTTTCCCACCAAAGTGGTACCTGTTTATCTGCTCACATCTGCATGCTTTCAGACTGCCAGGTAGGCAGGAGCTGAGGCGAGGACGGGAGCTCACCCGTTGCGTGGTGCTCAGGTCTCAAACCTAAGCTGCTGGCTTTGTATCCAACAATCCCAGTGCCTTAACTGCTGAGCCAGCGCACCACCCCTATTTTGTGGGAAGGGTCTCCAAATCATGGAAGCCCCCTGAGCCTGCCTCCTGTCCTTTGGGGACGGATACATCTGCCAGAAAGTCACCAGCAGGGCAGAACGTTGGGCTTCCACTGACGCTCCCTTGTTGCTAACCTGATGACACCAGGCTCTTAGCCTGTCTGGCAGTGGGGCTGCCCCTGAGGGCCCCGGGCTGGGAGACCTCCAGTTGGGAGTTGAGGGGCCACCGAGTGAACAGCCTGCTGGACAGGAAGGGATAGCGGTCTATCTCAGTGGGACCCAGCTGCAGTGGGAGGGGTCCCTCCTGGACATGGACATCACCAGCCTGATGGGGAGGCGTATTCCCCCTCTCTGATCTGTTTCCCTCCCTAACCTTGACCTTGACCCCTGGGGTCCAACGAGGCTGTCTCTGAGCACGGAATGCTGTTTGGACACTGTGGGGCAGAGGATGTCCACCAGGGATTCATCAGGTCCTTAAAATTTCCTGACAGAACAATCAACCAGTGGAACTGCTTGCCTCCAGAAGTTGTGGGTGCTCCAGCGTTGGAGGCTTTTAAGAAGAGACTGGACAGCCATTGGCCTGGAATGGTGTCCAACCTAGAGGACTTTAAAAGTTGTGGACTTCAACTCCCGGAATCCCCCAACCAGCCATGCCAGTCCACAAGCCTTAAAGTTCCAAGGGTGGACACCCCTGCTATTGGATCTTCTGCTCAAGCAGAGGGGGTTGGACTAGAAGACCTCCAAGGCCCCTTCCAATTCTCTTATTCCATTCTCTCTCTGATCACATGTATCCCTCCCGTCAAGCCCAAAGAAAGCCTGCTATAGGATCTTCTGCTCAAGCAGGGGGTTGGACTAGAAGACCTCCAAGGCCCCTTCCGACTCTCTGGTTCTATGATCCAAAATGCTGGGCAGTTTTTCTTCCCCAGAAGGGGCTTCTCCTTCTTGCCCTCCTGAATTCCACGGAGAGTCTCGGGGGAGGGGCAGATGGGGTGGGAGTGGACGGAGAAGGGGGTGTCCCAGAACTCACCTTCCACTGCAAATGACCCCCAGAGGCAGCCCAGCAGCAGCAGCGCCAGACCCAGGAGCTCCATGGCGTCCAGTAGCCGGGCCTTCGGCTTCTGGCTGGGCCGCCCAGCCTCCCCCCCCACTAAAGCCTTGTTTGCTCAGCTCGGCCCCTCCTCTTTTGGAGGGAGCAAACACAGTTGGTGAGGTCATTAGCAGAGGGTCTTTGGCTCCCCTCCCCTCCCCCTGGCATCTCTGCCCTCCCTTTGACGGCTCTGAAAGGATCCTGAGCCGGCCAGGAATGGGGGCAGGGGGGGCTGCAGTCCCAGTTTCCTGCAGGCATCAGAACTTGGGGGGAGAGTGTGGTCTGCCATAGCACCCCCTCCCCCAAAGCCTGGGAAACGGGGCCTCCGTTCTTGGCACAGAGAGCCCAAAGGCAGCATTATCGCTGGGCAACACGCCTGGCAGGGAGCAGCCCAGCGCACACACACCCCGCTTTTCTCTCAGGGATGTGGGGGGAAGAGAGCCCTGCTTGCCCAATGGCAGTGCAGGAAGCCCAAGACCAGGAACAGTGGGTGGCGTGGACAGGACCCTGGGAGAATAACAGAGCTGGGGGGGCCTCAGAGGTCTTCTAGTCTAACCCCCTGCCCAAACAGGAGATCCTATATCATTTCAGACAAATCACTGCCCAGTCTCTTCTTAAAAACTTTGAGAGATAGATATAGATAGGTAGATAGGTAGATAGATATAGATAACCTTTATTGTCGGCCGTGACCAGGGGGGCGTTCTATCAGGTCCGCCTGATTTACCAGTTGCGTCCATTTCTGGACCGGGACGCTTTGCGCACAGTCACTCAAGCTCTCGTCACCTCCCGCCTGGACTACTGTAATGCTCTCTACATGGGGCTCCCTTTGAGGAGCACCCGGAGACTTCAACTGGTCCAGAATGCGGCCGCGCGGG